AATAAACAACCTCGTAGAGAATTTGCTTTAAATATAATTTAATGATCTAGATTAGGGAAATCCATTGGGAAGTTTTGATAAATATATTAAGAAATGGTTATCATCTTGATCCTTCCGTTGCGCTCAATCGGCATGTAAAGTTGCAGGTAAAATTTCTGCACCCTATGGGGTATAATATGATTGCGCTCAATCGGTATACACCGACTTAGGGCAATGCAAATTTAAATCCAATAAACACTTTTAAGTGAGTGTCCTTCCTGGAAATTAATCATCCCTCATAAATTAAGTGCCGGAGCGAACTTACCTATGACCTTTTCGGGTCGGGGATTAAAATCTGACCACCGGCGCCGGAGCGAACTAGTGTGTTCCGGTCAAAAGTCCGCTTATTTTGTTTTGCGTTCTTGAGAAGAGCCCCTTTTCTTTTACGAAAAAATATTATACAAAGTATTTTAAAAATTCTGCACATTTTACAAAGTACATACTTTAATTTTATTACAGTTATTTTCCAAGAGTAATGCTTCACTGATATCAAACAATATTCTGTGACGTAAATTATTATTAGTAACAGGATAATATTAAGTTATGCACATTACTGATAATGGAATTTTAATTATTACTTCTGGGTGGAAATATTGGTTTTTACCTATCTCACGCCTACATTTTAACATTTCATCCGTTAAAATGCGTATTTGTTGTCATTTACTTTGGCTTTGAATAATAAAGTGTAAAAGTTATGTATCAATTTGCTTTTACCAGTTTTTGTCTGATGACATTCCAGTATTTTCTTAGCAATGTGAAGTTAGCAGCCACTTTCCAGCAGCCCGTTTACCGGAAACACCCGAGTTACCAGTAGCGTCGAAATGTATTTTTCTGTGAAGTTAACGGTGTATTGAAATAAAATTACTACTAAATTTTTAAGAAACAATAAAAAATTCATTAAAAAATCAATTTTTCTGTAAGGATAATAGAATATTAAAATAAAAATAGTGTCAAATTGTTAAAAACTATAAAATACAACCTAAAAAATTGACAAAATCACTTAGGAAGGAAATGAGGGGGTAAAATTAAATAAAATTCCATTAAAAATCTATTTAAAAATTAATTTGCCCAAGAAGACAATCTAGTATTGAAATAAAGTTAGTGCCAAATTGTTAGAAACTATAATATACAACCTAAAAAAATTAACAAATTCACTTAGAAAGGGGATGAGGGGGTCAACTTAAATAAAATTCCATTAAAAATCTATTTAAAAATTAATTTGCCTAAGAAAACAATTTAGTATTGAAATAAGGTTAGTGCCAAATTGTTAGAAACTATAATATACAAACTAAAAAAAAAAAAAACAAAATCACTTAGGAAGGGGATAAGGGGGTCAATGTAAATAAAATTCCATTAAAAATCTATTTCAAAATTAATTTGCCTAAGAAAACATTCTAGTATTGAAATAAAGTTAGTGCCAAATTGTTAGAAACTATAATATACAACCTAGAAAAATTAACAAAATCACTTAGGAAGGGGATGAGGGGGTCAAATTAAATAAAATTCCATTAATAATAAATTTATAAATTAATTTGCCTAGGAAGACAATCTAGTATTAAAATAAAGTTAGTGCCAAATAAATAGAAACTATAATATACAAACTTAAAAAATTAACAAAATCACTTAGGAAGGGGATGAGGGGGTCAAATTAAATATAATTTAGTTTATAATAATTTGGCACTAACTTTATTTCAATACCCAATTGTCTTCATAGGCAAATTAATTTTTAAATAGATTTTTAAACAAATTTTATTTAATATCCCCATCCTAAGTGATATTGTTAATTTTTTTATTTGTATATTATGGTTTCTATCAATTTGGCACTAATTTTATCTCAATACTAGATTGTCTTCTTAGGTAAATTAATTTTTAAATATATTTTTAATGGAATTTTATTTAATTTGACCCTCTCATCCCCTTCCTAAGTGATTATGTTATTTTTTTTAGGTTGTATATTATAGTTTCTAACAATTTGGTACTAACTTTATTTCAATACTAGATTGTCTTCTTAGGCAAATTAATTTTTAAATAGATTTTTAATGAAATTTTATTCAATTTTACCCCCTCATCCCCTTCCTATGTGATTTTGTCAATTTTTTTAGCTTGTATTTTATAGTTTTTAACAATTTGACACTATTTTTATTTCAATATGCCGTTATCTTTACAGAAAAATTGATTTTATAATGAATTTTTTATTGTTTTTTATTTCAGTTTACCCCTTACTCCTTTCTCTAAACACTTTTTATTTGTTTCTTAAAAAGTTAGTAGTAATTTTATTTCAATACATCGTTAACTTCACAGAAAAATTCATTTCGACGCTACTGGTAACTCGGGTGTTTCCGGTAAACGGGCTGCTGGAAAGTGGCTGCTAACTTCACACCGGTTATTTTCTTCCGCCTCTAATGTTTTTAAGTTTTTAACTGTTATATGTTATTTTTAGTTTATTTATTTGACATTTCAGGGTTAAGTGAGATTTTTCAAAAATGGAGATTAGTAAAAAGGATTCAGAAGATCCTAATGATCAGTCGGAGTCTAATCTATTAATGCTAGAATCATTGACGTCTGCATTATTTTCAGAAAATATATCGACAAGTGAGGTAAAAGAAGATAATAGTGTTCAGTTACAGCAAATTCAAACACCTACATTGGAAGCTGAACAACACCAAACTCCACGTTCTACGGTAAGTGATTAATACAACATTTATTATTTAAACCGGAGTTTAAACAAAAACACACACTTTAGCTAAGAGTAGTTTAATTTTTAACTGATTATATACAAAGTACAGATTAACCGATAATAATACACCGAGATTCATAATTTAAACTAAGTTAACATTTTAGCTGCTTATTTTACAAATCCCTATTGAAAAATGTTGGGCAGTAAGCAGATGAAAAAGGACCACGTACTTTTCTTATGCAAACGGGAGTACCGTCAAAATGTCTAAATTTTCTCCCCTCTCCCTAACTACTCCCTACCCCCCCCCTAACTAACCCCTAACCCTAACCTACCTCCTAACCCCCCTAACTAACCCCCCCCCTCTAACCTACCCCCCCCCCCCCCCCTCCCCTAACTACCCCCCTAAATCCCTCCCTAACCTCCCCTACCCCCCCCCCTACCCCCCACCCCCCCCCTACTACCCCTCCTCCCCTAACTAAATTTTTATAAATGATTCGGCAGATCTTTTTTGGTCAAAATAGGTATTTTCACCGAACAAAAATAACTGAAATAACGAAAAAAAAAATACCACCGTCAAAGTTTCTCAATATTTGATATCGTATAGTACTCGATGTACTCGTTCAAAATTCTTATTGGTAAAATTACATCATATGACTAGTTTTCTAAATATAACCTAATATGTACCAAATATATGAATTTTAACCAAAAAAAATATACTGACATAAGTAGATATGTTTCAGAGATATACTGTATATTAGATAATTTGACACACTGTGTTGGATTAGAAATATACCCCTTGTACTAATTGAGGAAAGCAAGTAAATCTTTTTGAGCAATGTTTCTTAATTTACCATGTTGTTTTATTGGTTCACAAAATTCATATAATACTTGGAAATTCTGTTTAGAAATTGAAGTTAAATATTTAAATTCTTCTAAACTAAAAGAATTTTTGTCTTCCCAATTTTTAAATTAATATTAGCTCTTAAATTAACGAGGAAGAATGGCCTATAAACAAAACGCAAACTAGCATGTAAATTAATCATTAGTAGACTTAAAGATTTAGATCAGCTGTACTCAACCTTTTTCTCTTTCGGGCCACATAAATCTGTTTGTTATGTTACACGGGCCACAATATTTTTGGGTGATAACTAAAGTTGCCACCTTTTTGAGATGCAAATAAAGGACAATGGGTGAAGATAGGGATCCGCTTTAAATATTTTCTAAAAAAAAGGTCCTCATGTTGTTTTAATACAAGATTGTAGCTCAACCATTTCAGTTACCAATAATAGTGTTTGGGGCTGCACAAAAAAGCTTGGAGGGCCGCACACAACAGCTTGGAGTGCCGCATGAGGCCCGTGGGCTGCAGGTTAAGTATGGCTGATTTAGATGAATGTCACAAAAATCTATAAATAGTTGAAACTAAAAAAATATTTGCTCTGCATACTGCCGATAGTTTTCTTACATTTACTTGTGCGTTACAAATTATACAACCACGAACTGAGTGGGGTGTTAAAACATTAAGTCTTAGGCAATTTGGACCATATTCAATATTTCTAAGTTCCTGTGTAATTGCGTGATAACAGTTTAAAAATAATCTTACTTCTTGTAGATAATCGATTGTAGGATGTCCGGTAGCTTGTCTTCTTAAATTAGCAACGTTAAGCACATCTATATTATTGTCTTTGTTTGAACGAATAGTGAGTCGAAGTTGAAAGTGTCTATTGTAAACATAACAGCTTATCCTATTTGCAAACGCCATACTTGCAAAAATATTTATTTTAAACACTAATGCAGAACGGTCTAATGCTCACCTAAAGTAATACAAACGTCATTATAAAAGTCAGCAATAGATGGATGTTCAATTATTCGGAAAATATTTAATCATGAATACATATAAATCAAGTGTAAGCACGTTTATATATCCTATAAAATTTTTGGCATATTCACCACTTTTTAGAATTTACCAATAAAATCTACCAATCGTCTAAAACTCATAGGTTACAAAATATACAGGATAATCAATTTATCTTCGGAAAAATTATATATTATCACAGTAGATATAAAAAAGCAAAACTTCAGGCATGCAGGCAGTCTTAAGCTTTATATTTTGTCATTACGAATATACAGGGTGATTCTTAACACAGTACCAGACCAAAACCGATTAAAAATGCCTTGGTTGGGTCGATTACAACAAGCTATAACAATTTACGTCTGAAGTGAAAAATTACGGAGTTACAGGATGTTAAAGAATACCTTTATTTCCAAGTTTAAATATTTATGGCGTTATAATTATTAAATACTTAACAAAACGACTTGCATGCCTTTGCATAATGACAATATAAAAACAGGCCGTTGAAAATTACGAATATTTTATTACCCTGTATTCATATCATATTGTTTTGAGAAGCCCTTAGAAAATCAAGTGAGGAACAGGTAAGCTGTAAACTATAAAAATATCAACAATTGTTTCGTGAAAATTAGAATAATATAGCTGCTCGACTTATTTTAAATATTTGAATGACCAACAACATGAAAATACTATTTCTTATATGAATGTGTACCAATAAGTAGATATGACATTTATACTTCATTGTGTGCCTAACTATTACTCAATAGATTTCCTAGAAGAAAACTCGCAATGAATAAGAAGACAGTTAAGAAGTTGATAATTTCTCAGATTTTTCTGCTCATTGACTACTTTATTCTGAAGATCCATTAAATGGTTTTAATTTCTAGTTATTAAAAAACTATGTCAGTTTGACAAAGTTTGTTATTGCCTATTTAAAATATTAATGTATGTATATTTATAATCATTTTTCAATAAAGAACTCACAAGCAATTTATTTTCTAATATTTGGCAGTAATTTTATATATTGTTGATTTTTTCACCTTGCAAGTTCAACTGTAACCATCTTTTCGGGGATGCGACTTAAAACAAAATGTATTGGGGGCTTTACCTCATTGGTGGCGTGGAATGGAGCTTATAATCTTATTTAAATATACAATACAAATAGGCACTTACGACAATACTCGAGCCAAATAAACCTGTAATCCGATCATAATTTTTCTACATCCTACTTAGACCTACCGTATAATCAACTTCTTTGTACCTGAATAAAGTATGACCCTGTATGTGGACTTATAATATTTTTTTGATGAACAACTCATAAGGTAATTATTTTCTATTCTTTGGCAACAATTTCAACATTTTGTTGACTTTTTTATCTTACATATTCAACGGCAATCACCCTGTAAGTACGAAATTTTTGTCTGTTTCCAAATAATACAAGGGTTATATTCCTAATCTAAACACAGTGTATCAAAATATTTAATATAAGATATTTCTTTTGAAAATATCTACTTATGTCAGTATATATTTATTGTTTAAAATTCATTTATTTGGTATCTACTTGTTATATTTTGTGAACCAATAGAACAATATTATGGTAATTTAAGAAGCATTGTTCGAAAAGTTTTACTTGCTTTCCTTGTTAAACTAAGACATGGATTGTCAGATGAGTTCCCAATCTGATATAAATATACATAAAGAGGCACTATAAAGAGCCAATGCTCCAGTCAAAATAAACATGTAATCCGATCATTATTCATTTCCCTAAATCCTACTTTGACCTACCGTATAACAAACTTTTTTTGTAATGAAATAATGTATGACTCTATGTGAACTAATAAGATTTTTTTGATAAACAACTCCAAAGTTAAAAGGCAATTATTTTCTATTTTTTGCCAACAATTTCAACATTTTGTTGATTTTTTCACCTTACATATTCAACCGCAATCGCCCTGTAACTAGGAAATAAATTTGGCTGCCCTCAAATAGTACAAGGGGTATATTTCTAATCCAACACAGTGTGTCAAATTATCCAATATACAGTATATCTCTGAAACATATCCACTTATGTCAGTATATTTTTTTGTTTAAAATTCATATATTTGGTACATATTAGGTTATATTTGGAAAACTAGTCATAGGATGTGATTTTACCAATAAGAATTTTGAAGGAGTATACGATATTAAATATTGAGAAACTTTGACGGTGATATTTTTTTTTTTTTTTTTGGTATTTCAGCTATTTTTGTTCGGTGGAAATACCTAGTTTGACCAAAAAAGATCTGCCGAATCATTAATCACCCTGTAAGGGATAATATTTTAATTATAGTAGTTAAGTATGTATTTTGGATTTATGCGCATCTCGTGCGTCGCAACTCGGGCGGAATCCTTAATTTTTCGCATTTCGGGCGGAAGGCTACAGGTAGATTAAATACCCTTCGCAACTCGGGCGTTCAAGGATCGGTACCTGAGAAGGTGCTTTCGGCTTAAACTTAAAATTATATACGGAGTGCCGTACAGGAGGAGCTTGCCAGTTTTTAAATATGTAACTTTCATAAAACAAGATTTTTTATTTATCTTTCTCTGCGAACATAATCTTTTCATTACATTGTTATGACATTTGAAATTGTAGTTTTTACTGAAAAAAGTGTAATTTATTTATTATATAATTAGATTAATAAATAATAGTGTACCTACCTCGGCTAGCTATTCAATTTTTATTTTAATACATTTTTTATGTAGGGTGTCTGTGTAAGTTGGCTACATATGGAAAATTTTTTTTTATTAGTTTTATCAAAAAAAAATTATTTAGCATAAAGAGTTGTGGATGGTCTAAAACCTAAAATACATCACATTTTTGAGCCGTATACTAGGACAGTATATGGAAAACTTTTTTTTATTAATAATTTTATGAAAAAAATGTCCTCAAAAAATTGTGCGTGATCTCAGACCTTAAAATACAACCATCTTATATCAAATTGTATAAGTCGTATACGAGGTTTGTCAAAAATGAATGTACTTTACTCTTGGCCAAAAATATTTTTTTTGACAAATCGTATACGACTCATAAAAATTGATATCTAATGGGTGCTTATATAAGGTTTTAGACCATGTTAAATTTTTTGGTAAAACTAATAATAAAAAAGTTTTCCATA